CTTGAAAACTAATTAAGAATAAAATCAATAAAGGTCTGTAGAGACATAAGAAGGTTCTAGAAATGAATATGGGACTTGAAGGAGCATTCTGGGTCTTATTGTCTAGTTTTCTGCTATTGAAGGCCATCATCTCACACAGTCCTAAACTTAGTAAGCTCAAAATTCCTCTAAAACTGATAGGAATTGCATCATGATTGATTTTTTAACTTATCTTATTGTTCCTTTATCTAGCAATTTCATTTTCTATTAAATTATCTAGTAAGAGTCAGATACTGATGAAAAGGTTTAGCATTTTCTGTTGAATTTTTCAACTATGGCTGATTTCTTTCTTTTGTGGGCCCCCTCCCAAGAACTGTTCTACCAGAACCACCATTTGGATGCTTCTCCTTTGGCTGTCCAGTTGTATCCTGTCTTTTCTGTATTCAGCCTTATACATCATTTTGCCACGTTTCAGAGAGAATTTGAAATTGAAAGCTGTGAAATTCCTTGATGCAAAATATCCAGAATTCTTATGTGAAACACAGGGAACATTGTACCTAAAATGTCTTATGATGTGAAATATGATAAATTAAATTGGGAAATCAGTGGAAACTGCCATTTGTTTCCCATAGCTTTAATATTTACAGGGTGCTTATTATGTTTTATTAACAGGTTTCAATTCACACCTAGCTTTGTGTGTAGCCTAGTAAAGGAATGCATGACAACTCATGACATAAGAAGTTAAAATGTGAAGAAAGAATTGTCCCATGCACAATTTTTATTTAAATCTTTTTATCTAAAACCCCCTACCACTTATTTCTGACCTCATAGTAAGATACACTGTTCTAACTACTTAAACACGCTTACACAGGGAAGGCTAGAAGTCACAGTAATACAACGTAATGCCTAGGTCTTCTTCATTGTGCCTCCAATCCAACCTTTCTATATGGTCTATTCCAGATATTCTGCCCAGGCCACTGCTTCTGGTGTTGGTGTTGCCAGATCTTGTGGGGTGCATTGTGGTACTACAGGGCATCTCAGGAGATGATTCATGGTTTACTTCTCCTGACAAACACATCAGTCAGTTGTGTAAAGGCCCATGATTTCATGCAAAAGATTTCATGAGAATCTGTTGAGGCTGTGCCATGTGTCCCATTTGTAGTTGGAGCCAAATGCTAAATTCTCACTGCGGGTAATTCTTCGCCAGCTCCATTCAACAGCTTTGTCACCTAGTTTCTCCCATTCTTTTTGCCAGAGGGTAGTTCTGGCTGATTCTGATGATGTGGTCAATGGTGTGGTAGAGGACAAAAAGTTATTTCTCAATGAGAAACTATGGTGCACTGGTTGATGTCTTTGTAGTGGGTGGTAGTCGCCTGACTCTTGTACCTGCCAGTCGATGTCACCTGCTACTTTCCTTCTGATGTAAGGGGACACTATGTTGGATAGTGAGTATAGGCAGGGAACCGGGATGGGTTTTAGGCAGCCTGTTTTAATTCTGCATGTATCATTTAGGGTGGTGTCAATATGTTTTCTGTGACTTTAGCATCCCGAGGTGGTGCAGGCATATTCAGCCACAGAGAAACAAAATGCTAAGGCAGTACTGTGTAGGGTAGATGGATGTGCTCCCCGCTTGGAAATTGTGAGTTTAGGCAGAATGTTGTTTCATGTGTTGACTTTGGCTTTGGTATCTAAAATGAGCTTTTTGTAACAAAGTGTACAGTCCAGTGTTACCCCTAAGTAGACCAGATGTTTCTGATGTTTGAGACTGGTCAGCCTAGGTGACAGTCAGGTGTTTTTCTCCACTCTGGTTCCTCAGATGGAAAGAGCAGATTTGGGTTGTGCTAGGGTTGAGTTTGAGATTACTTAGGTAATAATCTGACATCTCATTCAGTGCCCTCTCCAGGATCTTGTTTGTGTCCTCAGAATTCTTCTGCTACATGGTAATGCAGAGATCATCTGCTTAGATGAAATGCTGACACTTGGCTGATTGTTTATGTAGATGTTGAATAAAAGTGGGGTGAGCACACCACATTGTGGTAAGCCTTTTTTTTGGGAGTGCTATCTACTTTTCTGGCCATTCTGTTTCATGTAGATGTGCCTGTTCTCCAAGAGGTTATGGATGGTCTGGCTTCAATTTCAGTCATCAGTCATAAGGTACAGTCTGTGGATCATGATCATGCGGTGTTGGACAGTATTGTATGCAGCAGATCAACAAACACTGTGCTGGTTATCAACTTCTGTTGGAAACCATCTTCATTATGCTGTGTAAGATTTAGTGGTTAGTGTTCCTAGGATTGACCTGCTCTAAAATCCGTTTGGACTCATGTAAGTTTGGAACCTACCAAGAATGACATTTGTTGCAGGATAAGATGTTCGTAGAGTTTGTAGGTGATGCTGAGGAGGGAAATCAGTCCATAACTTTTTGATGATGAAAGGTCTTTCCCTGATTTGGGCAGAGCTATGTCTCTTGACTTCCTCTATACTGATGGTATTTGTGTACTCATCATGCATGCATTGAATAGATCAAGGAGCCAGTGCCTTGCAAGGGGTCCTAGGTATTGTATCATCTCAGTGAGGACATTGTCTACTCCTGCCTAGGTATGTGCTAAGATAGTAAGGCTTGCCATCTGTCCAAAGGCATACCTGTCCATGTTAATAATGCAGTTGTATGGAGAACACCCCTTCCCTCCGCCAAAGGATCTGAAAGTTACCTACAGCCCATCTCTCTATAACAGTGAGGCTCTCTTAGGGCTGATGTATATTTGGGATATTTTGTCCTAGTTATTATTGGTAGTTGTACCAATGCAGGCTACTTTGCTGTAGCACATCTGCACTGGGGATTTGCATCAGGGTGTCTATATCAGGGTAGCACTATTGCAAAAATCCCTAATACAGATAGGGCATGTGTAGACAAAATGAGGGGCATGTTTACGTGACACTTTAAAGCAGGTTAAATGCTTTTGCACTGCTTTAATGGTGTTGGTGTTTGCACACGTCAGCAGCATATTGCACTTTAATTCCAGCCACAGTAGCACATTTGGCGCTGTAATGCACCTTAAATGGCTTTGGGGCACAGCAAACTAAACACCTCCGAGGAGTTTTAGTTTGCTGCCATACAGCCATAGAGTGAAGCACCAGGCTCTGTGTGGCTCAGCGGCTGTGCAGGCAGCCCATGCAGGCAGCCTGGCAGCAGCCCAGGAAGGCAGGCTCCGCTGAAGGACAAAAAAAAAAAAAGCGGCAAACCTGATCTTTTGTTTTGTTTTGTTTTTTTCTCCTGGAGCCTGCCTGAGCTGTGCAGGGACTCGGTCCTTCCCTCCACGGCTGCAGTGCCCACCTGGCCCGCCCGAGCCGGGTACCTGAGAGTGCGTGCTGCCTGGAGGGGAGCCACTGCTGCCGCAGAGAGAAGCACCAACCACCCTAACCCCACTCCCAGCCCAGGGAGTACTCTGCCCGCTGGCAGCTTGCCCTCCCCTCCCTGCCGCCGGAGAGGCAGGTAAGACATGGGTGTACATGACACGGGGGTTTACTTTACCCTAAATTGATCCAGTATTTTTAAAACCCTACCACTTCAATTTAGGGCCCCCAGTTTATCTACACATGCCCATAGTCTCTAGAGCCTTTCTTTCTTTAGATTTAGATGTGAGCAACAGAGTCCTCTGATTCTAATTGTTGTCTGTTAATTGATAGGGTGAGAGTTTGCCTGAGTAGGATTATTACTGAGTGGCAGGAGTATATGTAGGTCTGGAATGTCTCTATTGATTAATTGTGAGTGTTTCTCTCTTCGTGGTGGAGTGCGCAATTTCAAATACAAACCAAAGCTGCAATTCACACAGCACTAAAAAGAACAGAACAGAACAGAAGTCTGGCTGAAACCTCCATTTCTGTCTTCTCTGTGCCTTTTTGCCTTAGCTGGCTTTTCCAGAGAGCAGAGTAAAAAGTCCAGGTTGAGCTCTAGAACCTGGCTTTGATAACCTGATTGCAATCTGCATTTACTCTCACCTGTGGACAGTCCATGTGGAATTATTCCTATACATCTTTTCTAATACAATGTGAATCTTCCCTCGTGCTTCAGAAAAACTAGATATTCGTGTGTCTTAAGGGGACTCCAGTGTACATAGGTGGTGGTTAGGAGGCTAATGAGTTAACTGCAGTAAAGAAAACTGCTTATTAACTTGTCAGCTGAGCTTATTAATTCAGCAGAGCCTCTTATTACCTGCTCACAATTTGACCAAAGGCTAAAATACTGCTGCCTGACTTAGTACTAGCCAGGGAAGCTGGTTTTACTCAGCTTTCTTAATACGTGTTAGAAATTAGGTATGCTGTGGTGGTACATGCATTTAGCTCAATTGGACCTCATCAGAGTGGCTAGTATGTGTACTAATTTCCACAAGGAGTAAAGAGATGATTGGTGATGTGAGTGTGTGGGTTTTTCATATTGCAGTTATTGCAGGCTGGGCACTGCTGGGGTTCTCATGAAGGTCTTTATGCAGTTCATTTCCTACCTCACAAAGTGCTCATTGCTTTCAGGGGAGAACATTTTTGAGATTGTTCATCCTGAACCTCATATCAGCACAAGGGAACTAAGGGCAAACAACAGATATGTAGCATTCAGCTTAAGAAGCAGACATTACATTTGTCTGTCTCAGTGAGTAGATGAGCCTTTATTATCTCTTTTGTGGCTGAAACCTCTTTTAAAGAACATAAATACTTTTTGTAAATCTGTGAGTTGTGTCCCATCCTCCAGTGATTCAGATATGTCAGGCACTGAGATATGCCTTTTCTTCTTCCAATGTTATCAAGAACATAATAAATTAGGAAGAAGTATTCCTCCTGTTTAGAAAACAAAGTATAGCACAAGTGTTTCTCTTCAGCTTTGTTTCTTTTTTTCCTTTATGTTTTGATAATTGCAGATGTTGCTTGCTACTGGAATGGGTGTTGGATGCCAAAAGAATCCCTGTCATTTGGAACTCAGCAGAAAATTTTAAAAATTTAATATACATAGAAAAATCTCTCTCTCACAGGTATTAGGCGACAGATTGCCCACTGTGTGAGAAAGGGGAGTGGTGTGATCAAAAACACGTTCTGTGACCCAGAGATGCAACCAAATGGACGACAAAAGAAATGCAGTGAAAAGGATTGTCCACCCAGGTACAAACTGTTAAGAATGTTAAGACTGTACTAAACAGGAGCAAGTCAATTCTATGTATATAATTTAGGTCAAAAGAACTGTAATACCACATTAGGCCAATAGTCCATCAGCGGTCTCCACTAATGATAGGTACCAAATGAAGATGAAAGAAACCTCTGTACAGAAAATTTCAAAATAATCTACCCAAGAGACAAGATTTGTTACTATCAGTCCATGCCAAGAAAGTTATATGTTTCATGGGCCCTTAGCAGATGTGCAAGTGAAGGTATGATAGAATCTGATGCAGGATCCCCACAGTTGCATTTCCAGCCAGGCCACAAGTAGCATGCTCCCATTGCTGGCAAGTGGCAGCCCCGTCAGCTGCTGGGGCTCCCAGCCACAGAGGTTTACCATGTGCTGCCACTGCTGGGAGCCCCCAGCTGATTTGGGCTCCCAAGTGTGGGAGCCCCACTCTGGCAAAACATTCAGTTAATGGTGTGATAAGAACCAGACACAAAGTTATTGCGCATATTTTGTGTAAGAACTTTATGGCTTATTCCTTGTTCTATGATGCCATTAATTGTATTAACATATGGCTGGATAACAACATAAGACATGATTAACTGGTTAATCATGTCTTAAATATAATATGGGCCATACATACATGCATCTTATCGAAGCTATTGTAGCTCCAAATGTACATGTACCTTAGGCTAATGTTTAGAATCCTGTTAATCTCTTTGCCTCAATGGTATTCTGTGGCAGTGTATTTTATTCTAAGTATTTATTGACTGTTTTTGAAAAACGCATTTATTTTGAACAGCTTGAAATATTCATCTTTATTGGCTCTTCCTTTGGCCTTGTGATAACAAAGGGTAAATAGAAATGCCCAGTTTATCTTCTCCAGAATTACTCTGTATCCTCCTCATGCCTCTTCTCAACTGTCTCCACTCTAAACCAAACTGTTCAGATGTTTTTATTCTCTATTCATATCTCCTTTTTCATTTGTCCCTGTTGTATTGTTTTAATTCTTATTCATCACTATTGTCTGACTTTGGACCCTTTGTATTTATGCTATAACTTTTTGTGAGATGGGCGATGAGGATTCAATACAATATTCCA